TACATAAAATTCGATTCATTTGATGATTCTTTAAATGGAAAGAAACCGATTTGCGTGATCCCAATGGAGTTCAACGTGTACACTGGGGAGAAGTTCGAGAAAACAACCGTTTCGATGAAAGCGCAAACATCGGAAAGTGAGAAAAACGAGGCCAACGCGAGTACGGGACAATCCTGCACACAGGCACCAAAAGTCTATCGGTTTGTCACCGACACTGTGGCTTTCAATCTCATCGATACTCCGGGCATCGGTGACACACGAGGCTTGGAATGTGACATGGAAAATATGAGAATGATCATGAAATGTGTGTCGAAATGGGATAAAATTCATGGGATTTGCCTTCTACTGAAACCGAATGTGAGTCGACTCACGCTGTCACTTCGATACTGCATCGTTGAACTGGTAGCAAATCTGCACCGAAACGCAATTCCAAACGTTTCCGTTGTTTTCACGAACTCTTGCAACACTCTCTACAAACCAGGAGACACGATGACAGTCCTGAGAAAGCTTTTTGAAGACGTGAAGAATGAGAACCAAAACGAGATCCCACTTACCAGTGCCAACACTTTTTGTCTGGATAATGAACCGGTGAGAATGCTCTACGCTCACCACAAAGGAGTTCAATTTGAGAAAGCCTGCGTCAACAACTTTTTAAAATCCTGGAATCATACTGTAAAGGAAACCTATAGATTATTTGATTCTGTCACCGATTTAGATCCGCACTTGGCGAATGAGACGAAAGTGGTGAGCATTGTTCGTGCAGTGACCCATGAGCTGTGCACCATTTTGGCTGATTTTGATGAAAGGATCAGACAAGAGCAAAAAGCTTTGGATCAACAAATTAATCAGCATAAGATTCTGGAGCAGAAATTGGCTGATACGAAGAAAGAAGTTTTTCAAGGGACATACTTGGAAGAGACACCAATTTCCCAACCAAATACAGTGTGTTATGGACCGAATTGCGTGGAAATGATTCGAGATCCGACGACGAATGCTTTGAAAACTTTTTACAAACGGGTTTGCTTTCAAAGCTGTTCAGTGCAAAATGTGCCTTTGAATCAAATTGGAGCCATGAATTTGCGTCAATGCCCAATTTTTGCCCAAGTAGGGAATTGCAGTGTTTGTGGATGCTCGTGGCAATCTCATATGCACATTTTGTACTCACAAAGAAAGAGAGTTGGTGAGGTAAAAGCTGACAAAAAGGAAGAAAATGATCAAGTTACTCAACAAATTTTAAGTAAATCCTTGTACATCACTCTAAGCCAACAAAAACTTAAAGTTCTCAGGGAAAGGTATCGAAAAGCTCAACAACTGGCCAAGCCGTTTTTTGCGTTTCTTCAGGAGAACCTAATCGTTTCAGTGAATTCTGCTTTCGAGGAATATGCCGAATTCTCGATTGAACAATTGGAGCAAACACTGAAAACGGGAAGTGATCGATATGAGATTGATAAGCTGAAGAAGTTGCTTGGAATTCACCAACAGCAGAAATTCCTGGCAAGTGAGAAACCAAATGAAGAGGAGAAGATCACTTTTGCGAACTATTCCCTGAGAATTTTAGAACTAAAAGATAATCTAATTGTTGGCACCGGCTTGAGAGAATCGTCCATTTATAAGAAATTATTTGATTTCCCGGATCTCGACGTTGTTGAAGTGGTCACAAAAACAAACCTCATTCTTCAGTATAGAAAGTGAAACTTGTGATTGTTTGAATAAATTTCTTATGTTTTTTTTTTCTATTCAATAGCTGTTTGAAACAGTTGAATATGTTTGTTTTTCTGAAAGCTTATTAGCTTTTTTAATTTAACTTTAAGAATGGCAAGCGATCCGATGTTCGCCTCAGCGACTGCATTTTTGAATGCCTTGGACAAGGAAAGTGACCCTGAAACAATTGATGGACAGGCAAGTTAAAAAGCAGAAAGTTAAACAATAGATACTAGTTCGTTTTCTAAACGACACCATTGAAACCTACCGTAGTCTAACGATAATTATTCAAAGCATAATTTTGGCTCAGTCAATGACACAGAAATTTAACTTTGAATGGAAACTTACCGTTAGATTACGGTAGGTTTTTTGTATTGATTCTATTTAAAGCTCAATTTATGTGTCATTGACTGAGTCAAAATTAAGCTTTGAATGAAACTGGGAGTACAGGGTGACCAGAAATAAGGGGTCTATCCCAAAACAGCGCCGCCAAAACAGCGCCGCCAAAACAGCGCCGCCAAAACAGCGCCGACCAAAACAGCGCCACCCAAAATAGCGCCGTACCCAAAATAGCGCCGTACCCAAAACAGCGCCAATGAAAAAAACGCCTAAAACAGGGTCGATGCAAAACAGAGTTTTTTTTTACAATGTACAATTCATTTTTTTTATTAGCAGCTTTTAATTTTGATAATTTATTTAAAAATAACATGACCAACAATTAAACGATGCATAAAAAACATCAAAAATAGCTCCATAAACGCTCTTGAAAAAATGAAAAGTACAATAGTGCACTTTCGTTGCAGAGTGGGGATAGGCAAGATTGAAACTACAGTACAACGCCAACTCCATATCAGAAAAAAATTATAAAACTAAGATATATTTAAATCCAACCCGTTTTTAATTTGTGCGGAGGTGGTATGCCAGCTGCTTGAAGGTAGCCAAAGACTTCCTTGTAGGTGTTAGCATCCTTTCGATTCAAAAAGGCATACACGCAGGGAACAAACATATGTTCAATTTCTTTTCTAAAATTTCTTAAATTTGGACTTTTATTAAAATAAACCAACCTCGATGCCAATAATGAAGACTTGTTTAAATCCTGCAGGCGCGGAAGCAAATATCCCGTCGCAGGACCAAATGGCATCCTCAAGTACAATAAAAAAAATTTTACAAATATATAGCTAACCTGCAATATGCAATATAATTGTTGTTTTCCCCAATCCGTCCAGAAGACTTTCATTGCCTTTTCATTGCAAGATGTGTACGCATCGCAAGTGTCGAAACGTAGAAAGCTTGTACCTTTATTTTAAATTCTATATAAATCATTTAAAAAGCGTACGAAATTTTCCATCATCGACCGGACTTGGCCACATTTTTGCGACAGGAATTACTCGCCTCGCCATTTTTTGCAAACCGGAAACATTGAGTAGGCGTGTTACGTCGGGTGAACTGTTTGTTATTGTTATTACCTGCAAAATGAAAATGCTAAATGGCTAGGCGAACCAAATATTAAGTCACACATCCATAATGCTGATAAAATATACCTCAAAATTTCACGGCGGTCCGTGATGATGAGACGACGATGATGAGTATGCAGCAACGCCTCGTTCCGTTTCAGATTGCTTTGTTACCTACAAAAATAAAAAGTTAGTGAAAACGTTAAAAAACAGGCCGTAAAAGGAAAAAAATTTGTTTTTTTGGTTAAAATCACTTTAATAAACGCTATCGCAGGTTTCTATGCGTAAAGCTTTAAAAAATCGGATTCTCCGCCTTTTTTTTATTCTAGAAACACAAAAAGTGGACAGAAAAAGTTAAAAACAGCAAAGAAAAAGCAAAAGCAAAAATTTTAAAAATAATTTTTTTGCTGGTCGCTGTTTTGGGCGTTTTTGCATTGGCGCTGTTTTGGGCGGTGCTGTTTTGGGTACGGCGCTGTTTTGGGATAGACCCGAAATAGCGTTGCGGGATTTTCGGCAGCCTAAAATCCTCAAAGTTTCAAATTTATTTTTATCCTATTCTCTGTGATTGTTTTTATTAGTTTCTTTGTTATTTTACTTTCTTTCAAGTCTATTCCTTTTTTTATAGGATGTCAAGCAAAGGATCTGCCATTCTGGAGCTTCATGGTCAAGGTCAATGCGTGAGTGCGATCGCGCGATTGCTACGTGTTTGTCATCAGCTCGTCTCAAAAGCGATTAAGCTATACAAGGAGCTTGGCAACGATGAAGATCGTCCAGGAAGAGGCAGAAAAAGAACAGTCAACACCTCCAGAAATCGCAAAGTGATTCAGAAGCGCGCGGCCCGGAATCCACAGGTCTCAATGAGAAAGATCGCCTGACAGACGGGGATCGCTCGCGAATCGGTTCGACTTATGGCCAAAAATGAGCTCAGTCTTCACCCTTACAAGCTCAAGCAAGGGCAACAACTTGACGACGACAACAAACGAGTTCGACTCAAAAGATATCGAGAGCTTCTCAAGCGGGAGCGAATCCCGTTTTCTGACGAGAAGCTCTTCTCGGTGGAGCAAAGCTACAACCACCAAAACTATCGGATTTGGTCAACGTCCTCTCCAGGCAGCTCTGCGATTGTTCAACACCGACAAAATCCCAAATCGGTCATGGTATGGGCCGGAATCTGCGCAACTGGCAAAACTCCTCTCATTTTCATCGATTCTGGGGTAAAAATCAATAAGGATGTGTACCAAAAAAAGATTCTTGAGGATGTTTTGCTTCCCTGGGCTTAACAGCATTTTGGTAACGGATTTTGGCCCTTCCAACAAGACTCCGCCCCTTCTCGTCGAGCCAAATTCACACAGGACTGGTGTAGGACAAACTTTCCGGATTTCATCTCGGCCAGGAATGGCCTCCGTATTCGTGCGATCTCAATCCCTTGGACTACAGTGTTTGGTCAATTTTGGAGGCAAGGTCTTGTGCAAAACCCCACAAAAGGCTCTTAAGCGATCGTTGACCAGGGAATGGGATCGAATCACTCCGACCGGGCTGCGGCCCATCGCCAAAAACTTCATCAAGCGTTTGAGGCTCTGCATCAGAGCCAAAGGTTTTCTTAAAACTTTGAAGAAAAGTAGATTTTATGCTCTCTTTATATCATGTTGTCAATAAAAAATTGTTTCTGTTACAAAATCTTTTTGGATTTTTAAAAAATAGGCTAAATTAGGCCGCAACGTTATTTCTGGTCACTCTGTATAGGTTTGCTTTCCTTTCTATACTACACTGTAGATGGCCTGTCGATCTGATTCTGCAATCAGTGCAGTGTCTTTCAACAGTGATTGTAAAGACTTCAAACTAGAAATGAAGCTGATAGTAAAATATAAAAGTTCAGAGTTTTGTAGCTAAATTTACACGAACATTTCAGGCTGATGACGTCAGTGCAACGGAGTCGGCTTCTTTCGATCAAACACGTCAATTCAACCCTTCTCAACAACCAATTCATTCCAATGATCCCGATGCAGATGTGAAGAAGAAAATTGTACTTTTCAACCTCCCAGAACCGTTTGGTGATGATCAGATGAAAGAGCAAGCCGATCGGAATGCTTTTCATCAAGTTTTATATGCGATCAACGCGGAAAGTCTGGCCGGAAATATTCGCGAGATCAAACGAGAAGGACGATTTGAACAAAATGGAAGACCTCGTCGTGTAATTGTGACATTCACTGATGAAAATGTGCAACGAATCGTTGTCGAATATGCGCCGCAACTCTCAAAGATTCGTCAACTGAAACATCTAGCGCTTTATGCTTACAAATCACCGGTGGGTTGAGCTTATAATTAGGTTGAAAAACGTGCATCCTTCGCAATAAGAGTTTCGATAAATACAATTGCTGTAGTTTTACTTACTTGTCTCTAGTTCTATCCAAGTTAGGCACTACTTTTCAGATGATTCGGGAGGATTTCGATTGGATAAAATAGAGAAAAGATACTTTGCAAAAGTGGACTTGAGATGGACACACTCTAGTTAAAACTTTGAGACAAATCTTACAAATCGATTCAGGCACAACGATTCGAACCACCTCCGGAGCAACAAACGAAACGTCAAAACAACAAAGCACGGGTGAGCTCAAGAATACCCTTAACTTAGTTTTGATTCCTTTTGCAAGACCGGTCATAATGTCAAGGCTTGCATGACGTGTAAGAGGTTTTACAGAGCCATTTGAAACTTTTAGCCGACGAGAGTGGATGGGTATCACGGCGGCACTTCTCGGAAGGCTCCCGATCAAAAGTTCGAGCAAAGAGGTAAACATCTTGTCGATTTTAATTTATAGTATGAAATGGAAAACGACCCACTAACGTTTAAACGTTTGCATTCTGTTTTGGATAAACCTGTTTATCCAAAAAATCAAAAGCTCTAATCCCAGGCAAGAAAGAATTACGACCTCAACATCCCCCACCATCTGATTCACCTCAACTTTCACAAAACAGCCACGCTGGGAGCTTGTACGGGAGTACGACAAATCCTTCGAATGGTTAGTTTTAGGAAAGGAAAGTTTTCATACTGATAAGGGAACCCAAAACCTATGCGACCCATACCATTCGATGCAGAATTTTATGCTGATTTCGAATATGGATTCCGTTTTTGCTAAATGACAATCTGTCAGGAGTGATAAGCGTTTGTTAGGACTCTGAAAGTGTTGACTATTGTCTGGAATTTTGTTAGGACTTTGAAAGTGTGGTCATTTGGGTCTTAGCGGCTTCTTTGCGGGGGGAGCTTACATCAACGCCACTGTAGGAAGAAAATAATGGAGAAATCGGTGCACCAGAAAGAATGCGTTTAGGCATCTAGTGAACACAAAGTACATCTTATGCACAGAGTGTGTGCGAAAAAAAGTACATGCATCTTAGACCTTAGATACTGTTATTGTTGTTGTTGTTGAAGTTAAAGCATATTGTTAAAGTTATCATGACATTTTTTTCAGTCAATTATGTCGCTCGATCGGAACCTCCGCGCCCCATTTCGCCACAACTTTCCGAAACAAGTAGCAATGCTGGGAGCTTTTACGGGAAAATGCTACAGTCTTCCAATGGTCAGTTTTTCGAATAGCCTCATGAATGAAAACATGAGACTTTTCTAGAAAACATAAAGGCCTGAAGTGGAAAACTTTTAGATATCTCTCTCCATTTCCAGCCTCCATCCAGCATTCCGCTGGCTCCAAAACAATTAAATGGGAACCATTTACAGAGAGTTGAAACCTCAAACTCTAAAGACCGTGGGTTTTTGATAGGTTTCTCATCTGACATACCTGCAATAATTGACTTCGAGGGTTCAATCCCCTTTCCGGAAATCTACTTTCTCTTGCCAATTCCTTCACTTCTTTATTACTGAAACTGTGGATGTGTTTTGTGAACTATGAATACCTTCTGCATGACCAAAGAATTTAGGTCATAAACAAGACGGAACACCTTCGAACGTGCAGTCCAATGAAGTGACTCCAAATCCTCAACAACAAATCTTCAACAACTCTTTCGGATTTGCACAGAATAGTGCGATGTCAGGTGAGGCTTAAAATCAGAAATAACTCCTATGGAACTTGAATTTCAGCTTAAGTAGAGTCTTGATATAAAACCTGTAATACTTTTGAACAATTCAGGCAATGGTCAACAAAATGGAATGAACGGCCAACACCATGCAAATCAACCAGCACCATTTCCACCGCAAATGTTCAACAATGCTTTTGGTTTTGCGCCGAATTTTGCCCCGCCAGGTGAGATTTGAAAATATTAAGCGATTGACAAAAGTTTGAAAGCAGCTCAAAAGGCCGATTGTGAGACTTGGAAACGCCAGAAGCTAAGGCTAAAAATTGAAAAAGGTTCGAAATTCAAAGATAAATTTTCAGGAAATCCTCAACCAGTTCCACTAATGTCTTTCAACCCAACCGATCCGCAATTCCAAATGATGATGATGCAAATGTACGGAATGTTCCTCAACTCTCAACAAGCACAGCAAAACAACAATCCTTCCGTGCCGTCAAATGTGCCAACATCAGCAAATGAGCTTTCTGAAGAAAGTGAAGAATCGGAGGAATCTGAAGAAGAATCTCTGACTGAAGAAGAGCAAAACGATGAGCCAACAAATCAATTTTTCAAGGTTCAATCTGAACAGCACACTGGCACCAAGAAAGAGCTCAACATTCTTGTTCTTGGTGAAACGGGAGTCGGAAAATCGACTTGGATCAATGGAATCGCGAATTACATGAGCTTTGACACACTTGAGGATGCACTCAACGCTCGACAACCGATTTGCCTTATTGCCAGCAAGTTCTCTTTCTACGAGACAAATGAGACGAAGATTGATGTGAGACTTGAACCATCGCACACCGAGAAAGATGAGAATGAGACATTCTCCGATCAGGGTCAATCGTCGACGCAAGAACCGAAAACTTACCAATTTGAGACGTCCAAGTACATTGTGAATATCATTGATACTCCGGGAATTGGAGATACTCGTGGAGTTGAGCAAGACAAAGAGAATACAAGAAAAATTCTTGGCGCCATTGGACAGTACAAGCATTTACACGCAATTTGCTTCCTCTTCAAGGCCAATGAAGCAAGAATGACGTTGAGCTTCAGATATTGCATCAGTGAGATCTTACTCCAACTCCACAAAGACGCTGTTAACAATATTATCTTCTTTTTCACAAATGCTCGTGGCACTTTTTATAAACCCGGTGATACAATGACTCCATTAAATACTTTTCTCACTGAATTGCACAAGGAAAGAGGACTTCGAATTGCACTCACAAGTGATAAAATCTGTTGCACTGATAATGAAGCTTTTCGACTTGTCTGTGCTCATTTCAATGGAGCGAAATTCACCGAAGAAGACTTTCAAAATTTTGCTGGAAGCTGGAAACAATCAGCTGCTGAAACGCATCGTTTTATTGAGTTCACCGCTCGTCAACGGCCTCATCATGTTGCTGATACGGTTTCGATCAACAAGGCAAGGACGGTCATTTTTCATTTAGCGAAACCATCGGCCGATGTGAATGAGTTGATCGAGTCGAATATCAAAGTATTTGATGAGAGAAAGAGAGAGCTCCAAAATACAGCTGCAACTTTAGACGATTTGAAGAAAAAGCTTCTGATTCCACAAATTGGAATAGAAGTCAAGCCGTTGAACTACCCGAAAACCGTTTGTGCTGCTCAAAGATGCATTGATACTATCCAATTGCCACACACTACTCAATACCAAACGATCTACAAACAGATTTGTCATGATCATTGCTTTCTCACAAATGTTGATGTAGAACGTGTCCCTGAACCCCACCTTCAACAATGTGCCGCAATGGCTGGAAGACCAAATTGTCAAGTGTGCGAATGTCTTTGGAGTACTCATATGCACATCCGTTTTGAGCAAATCAAGACTAGTGTCCAAGTCGAAGACAACAACACGAAGACTCTCATTCAACAAAAACAAGACGCGAGTAAAGTGAAGGAGAAAATGATTCGGGATTGTGAGAATACAATTGATGAGTTAAAGAAAGAACAACAGAAAATCATCAAAACTTCTCTACGATTTGGAAGCTTTTTGCAAGCCAATGCCATCCTTCCCTACAATGACGCCTTCGAGAAATACGTGGAGCAAACAATTTCGGAAGAGGAGAAATGCACGGATATTGGTGGTGAGCGATCGAAATTGGATAATTTGAAAAAGATTTTGGATGAGTATCGACAAGAGAAAGTTATGCTGAACGAAGCGCGGAAGAATCCGATTGCAAATGGAGCGAATACGATTACCCCGGATGAGATTGAGGTGATGAAAGCGGAATTGTTCGGGCTGAAACACACGGGAAAAATTCTGAAGAACTTGTTTGCTGCGACGGAAGACGGGCTGGCAAAACATCAACAACATGTGACGGTTAAATACTCACCACCAAAGCAAGTTCAACCGGCAAACTTTGGGAAGTACAAGAAGACGGGCGAGAAAGAGATGTGGGTTTGAAAGTTGCTTGGTTACTTTGGATCTTGAAACTAAATTTGGATTTAAAAGCTTGCAGCATAATTAAAAATTCTTATATAAATGAGCCAAAGTTTCACAAGTCGAAATGCTTAAAATTTTGGGTAATGTAAGATAGATTCAATCAATTTTAGTCTAAACTAATTAAAACTGATTAAATTGAAAATGAGACTAAAAATAAATTTTTCTTTTCGTCGTTGTTTTACGCGGCGCTGGTTTGGGCACAGCGTTGCTTTGATCGGCGCTGTTTTGGGATTGGCCCACTGAGTCTTGTGATTCCTCAACAAATGATACCAAAATCGAGCTGATTTAAATGCAAACTGACAATTTAATTATGATAGTTTTCTACAAAAGGTGTCCTTAAGAAACGCATTGCTCAGAAAGAACATACTTCAATGTTTGTTACGGTAAAGTAAACCTTCAGTAAACCTTTACACTTCGCTTTTCAGCCCTGCACCTTCGAGCGGTGGAGGGAAGAAGCAACAGCAAAAGAACAACAAAAACAAGTACAAAAAGAACAAGAACAAGAGAAAATAAAAGCATTTCATTAAGTTGTGTTTTTTGTTCATTGATGTTCTTTAACTAGCAATCATTTCCTTTTTTCACAAACCTTTGTATTCTTATTCATTCATTTCTTATCAATAAATTTCTCTGGTTAACTCTTTTGGCTGCTTTCAAAAACGGTTTGGCCCGTTTGCTATCGACAACTTTTCATTCTCATGTTTAGTCTAGAAATTTAGTTGATAAAAGTTTTAGTTCATTTTTTGTGGAATGGTCTCTAGACTTCCTTCCTCTAATGAAGCACAAGGTGGGTAACTAAACCAAGGAAATTGTTCATAAACGTTTGCCATTTGACACACTGACGAATTCTGATAACAAGACAGTTGGGTTTCAATAACAATAACTTATTTTTTCAGATGATATGACTTCTCAATTTCCTCACACTTCACCGGTGCCGATGGAAACTGATGACATTGAGCTTGAAGCGCCGACTTTGGCTGAGCAACAGGCAAATTTTAAGCGATTAGTGCAAAAATTCTTAGCCTAACCAGAATATCAGCAGCGTATTATAAAAGATTAAAGGTAAATTAAAAAGACTTAGGATTTTTCAGAATTTCCCGGAACAAATGGAAGAAGTGGATGCTTCAAATGGAGTTCAAAGGAAAAACGGTTGCAATCAACACTTTGATACTGTAAGTGTTTTTGTTAATCGACATAATAGTTGGCTTTAGTTTGCAATTTGCTTAAACTTAATTTAGGCTAAAGGATTTTTCAGGAAAGCTTTAGTTGATGAGATTCCAGTGAGAATTATTCGAAAAATAAATAAGCAATTTTAGCCACTCGCCAGAAAATCTGAACCTGATCAACGAAACACTGTCGATTCGCTCAACGGAGACCAAGATGTGAATTTGATTCGTGAAGCCCAACTGAACGCCCACAATATCAACGCCCGTCTACAAGATCTATCACCCGAACAAGCAAAACTCTTCCTGAACACTTTAAGCAAGAATTTGTGGAGAGAAGACAAACAAGTGAGTGTATTTATTTCACTAGAACTTAAAAATGAAAATGTCTTTAATAAAACGTGTCATTTTTTAAAAGCTACAATCTTACAGACAAAATCATGGTAATTTTCAGATGCTAACACCGCTCTATTAAAGGATTAAATACCATTTTCAAATATTAAACGAAATTTTCAGGATGATTTCTCGAAGAAGCCATTGGAGAAAGCTCTGGATGACTTCATTCTATTGGATCTCTCGGTTGAGATTCCGCCAGTTGAAACAATCCAGTCAATGTTTAAATCGAGTGAACTGAGTGATTGCAATTCATCAAATGATCCACAAAGCTTCATGAATCGAGAAACCACAATCGGACCCATTGCTGCTGATATCTACGAGGACATCACTCCAAGAAAACTTTCCGGAACTTCTCAATTGCCTCTTGGGCGAGAATTCGAGGAACAAGACGTCGTCTCAGCTGCAAAGCCTTTATCTTCCTTTATCTCCTCAAACACTCCATTTCACGAGTGCCAAACAAATGTACAACAACTTGTCAAGCAATTTGAAAAAGCTCCGAATCCTGATTGGCCTTCAAATTTGAGCTATGACTTGAAACCGATTCAAATGAAATTCCCGTCGGCTTTCGAAGCTCCAACTTATGAAGATTCTCAATTTTCTGAAAATTCAAGATATCGGCAAATTTCCAACTCAAATCAAAAATCTTACTATCCAACTATTGAAACTGAGAGAGAAAATGGAAATGGATCAGTTGCAAAGCCGAAAGAAGACTCCTTGATGACCCCAATTGGTTTGCGCTTGTCTGCTCAGCGAAGTTCATCGGTAATTGAAGACACATCGAATTCTCAGAAAGTTTCAGATCGTTTGAGCCGAAGTACTTCCAAGAAAGTGCATAGTGATTTGGAAAAAGAAAAGGGAAATGAGAATGGATTTTCGTTTTCGAGAAGGAGTTCAAGTTATGAGGCTGCTTCAAAGAACCCGACCAGCTTGAGCCCCATTACCGTACCTCGAACTTCGGCAAGGTCTCAACATTCTTCTGAGCACCCGAATCAACTGGCTCGTTACTCGACAAGTGCCGAATCTAAAGACAACAACGAAAATGTGCCGTTTGCAAATAGGAAGGGAGATCTTGACGGTGTAAAGAGTCACTGTCTTTCTTCTCAGTCTCAAAACATTTCTGATAATAAGCCAACTGTACAAGTCCTGAATGAAGAGACGAAACAACCTGCTTCTACGAGAAGCTGGAGCCAAGTTGTGCAAGCAAAACCGGAAAAGCATGAAAGCTACAAGAGCCAAAACGATTCAAAATTGTGTTCAAGTACAGAAGCTAAGAAATCGGAGCCTTCACCAGCCATTATTTCCGAAACTTGTTCAAATCAGCCTAGATACACTCCTCCATCTCAAGAAATTTCTCTCGAAGCCGTCAAAACGCAAGTACCCAAAGTCAAAAAAGAGAAAATCGAGTGGCTACAGAAGGAAAATGTCAAAGTGCGAGAATTCGGCTCAACAACGAAAAAGTCGATCAATATTTTGGTGCTCGGACAGACAGGAGTCGGGAAATCAACATGGATAAACGCTCTTGTCAACTATTTAACTTACAAAACGCTAGATGAAGCGATTGCTGCCGAGGCGCCGATTTGCGTGATTCCAACTAAATTCACAATGTTTGACGACAATTATCAGAGACACGATGTCCATCTTGGAGTACACGACAATGAGGTTTTTGCGGACAATGGTCAATCCGCCACTCAAAGCGCCAAGACGTATCTGTTTGAGCAAGATGAACACAATATTTATATCATTGACACTCCGGGAATGAATGATACCAGAGGACACTTGAAAGACGAGGAAAACATTCAGAATATTCTTCGATCAATCGCACCTTTCAAAGAGATCCATGCGATTTGCTTTCTTTTCAAAGCGAATGAGGCTCGTCTCACGGAATCTTTCCGCTACTCGATCGGGAAATTGCTTGGGAATTTGAGTAAAACGGCGCTCAACAACGCTTGCTTCGTTTTCACAAATGCTAGAGGAACTTTTTATCGACCGGGTGATACAATGGGACCGTTGAAGGCTTATTTCAATGAGCTGAAGGAGAAAGAAGGACTTTCAGTCAGAATTGATGACAGCAACATCTTCTGTTTGGACAATGAAGCTTTCCGATTTGTTTGTGCTCATTTCAGTGACATTCAATTCGATACAAGGGAAATAAAAACGTTTGACGATAGCTGGAAACATTCGTCGAACGAAGTGCAGAGATTGTTGGATCACGCTGCACGAGCTCGCCCGCACAACACCTCGGACACGCTGTCAATCAATGAGACTCGGACTTGGATCTATCAGTTAATCGATCCAATTCTCAAAGCTTGTGCAATGATTCAGAGAAACTTGCAGCAACTGGATAGGCAGAAGGAAGAGCTGATGCAAGCTGAGAACAATGTTGAAGAATTGCGGAGATTGGCGACGATTCGAGTGACTTCAATGGAAATCTTACCGCTATCGATGCCCCAAACCGTTTGTCGGAGTCAAAAATGTGCAAAGTATGAAAGGATTGATGGAAAAGAAGCGTTGATCTACAGGGTTTGCCACAAAGATTGCAGCCTAGGCGATATTGGAAAACTAGACGAATGTGCAGTCTTTAATTACAAGTCCTGCAATAAATGCTTCTGTCACATAAATGCTCACGAGCGAATCCCGTACGAGCAACGAATCACCATAAAATCTCTCGAAAACCCACAAAAACTCGCCTCAGAAGCGAATGCAGCCGAGGTGAAGAAAACCTCGATTCGAAAATTTGAGCGACTCATCAATGGATATCAAAAAGAATCCAACTACATTCTAGTTGCAATGGCAACTTTTTCTGCTTTCCTTGCTGAAAATGGAATCACTCAGAAAACGAATCTCTTTGAACAACACTTACAGAAGCTGATTGTTGCCGAAGACAAGAAAATGAGAAGCGTAGCTGGGGTGGATGCGGATGAATTCAATCGATTGCTCGAACTCAGTGTGACTTATGGAGATATTTGCAAACAATTTGTTCATCAACGAGACCCGGCAAAGATTTCACTTTATGAGCTGCAAGAAATTCGACAAAAGTTGTTCTCTTTGCCGCTGAATGGTGCAATGATTGCACAGATTTTCGATATTCATGTGAAAACCGATCATCAGGATTATGAGGCAACTGTGACACGCTGCGAGAAATCGATGTTTCAGTGAGTTTTGCAAAAAGTAGCTAGACAAATAGATAGAAAAATAGAGACATTGATAAAATAAGTCCCAGTCTTTTGCTCATTGCATTATATTGGAATAATTAAAGCATAGCCATTTGCACAAATCCAGCTCCTGCAGCTGATTTTTGAAGTAACTAACTATCTAGCATTCAGATAACCTTAGAGTAACCCTAGAGTAATGCGTCTTCCAAAAGGTAGCTTTTCGAATTAGCCATCTTTTAGAAAAAGCATCACTCATTGAAACCTATCAACTAGCTGAAAATAGTAGAGCTTAAATTCTTAATAGCTTTAAATAGTAGAGCTTAAATAGAGCTCTACTAAATAAATAAAACAAATAAATAACTAAAGCTAAATAAAATAGAGCTTAAAATAATTGAAAAAGATTCACAAAATGAACTCCAAGATCTAAACTAACATTTATAAAGATACAGTCATGTGCAAAAGTCTTTTCACATTCAATTTTCTTTGATAAAGTTCATGGCCATCTTTAAGCTATTAATAGTTTTAGTTACATAAATATATGTACAATTTATTTACACAAACGTTATCGCTATACAACACTTATTCATCGAGAAAAAGATATCATTTTCAAAACACCCCTGAAAATCGTGGTGCTAAAGTCTTTTCACAAAAAAACGAGATTAAGCTTTAATCCATATTTAGTCGCTCCTCCTTTTGCCAAAAGTACTTCTTTAATACGATTAGGCATCAATGCAATTTGTTCATCAAGAATTACAGGTCCAATCCTTCTCCAAATTTTTCTGATGTAAAACCATAGCTCGACTTTAGAATTGAATAGTTTTCCTCGCAATTTCGATTTCAAATAGGCCCATAAATTCTCGATAACATTCAAATCCGGAGAAAATAGTGGAGCTTTGATTAAAGAACGTGATTGATCTCAAACCATTCCGGTAAATGTGCTTTGCCTTCATTCGAGAGAGTCACAACGCGGCCCATCAAAAGCTTGCTTTTGCGTACTGGCAAATTATCTTGATAAAGAAACCATCCTGGATTCATCGAAGCAGTCGCAAATGGAAGTAGACATCTGTCCAATATTTCAATACATTGGCGGGAATCCATTGTTGATTCACGAGGACAAGTGGACCCGTTGAACTTTTACATATCGCACCTAAAGAAATCATGTTGAGCTGCATAAAAAGAAAATTATCCTCACCGAAACACATCCTTGATCCCCCGCCTGTTTTCACCTTAGGCTGCAAGTACTTGAGTTGATATCGCTTTCCAATTGGACGTCGGATCAGATGATTTCGATTTGAAGGAAAAATATAAACTTTTGTTTCATCAACGAAAATCACTCAGGCCCAATCATCGATTGACCAGTTTGAATAGGTTCGAGCAAATTGAAGACGCTGCCTCCTTTGTTTGGCTGCCATCATAGGCTTGAGAGCAGGTCTTCTAGTATACAATGCTGCTTGAAGCAAGCGCGATGCAAGGTCCAACGGGAAATATTCTTGTTTGAAGTTTGCTTGAAAAGAAGCGCTCCATCGTTCTACGTTAAATTCGGATCCTTCTTGAAGGCTCCCGTAAGAAATCGGTTTTTATTCTTTGTTGTAATCCACGGCCGTCCCTTTTTCCTACATCTTTTTACTTCCAGACGCATTCATTTTCGCCATAACAAGAGGAACTGTTGTGGGCGTACATCCTAAGAGGGGAGCAACGTCTTGTCGTGGCATTCCTTCCTTCCTTGCCTCGACGATCCTTTCTTTATCCGGAGTTGAAAAGTACGCTCCTGGCATCTAAAAAAAATAAAATAGTACCAGTAAATACGAAGGGAACGAAAATAATAAAAATTTTTGCAAATGTGAAAAGACTTTTGCACCACGATTTTCAGGGGTGTTTCGACAATTATATTTTTTCTCGATGAATAAGTGTTGTATAGCGATAACGTTTGTGTAAATAAATTGTACATACCGTAAATACTGTAATTGGACCCCATGGGGTACTATTTTTTTCCTCCCTCTCTAGGGTGGGGTACTATGTATTAGAGGGTGGGGCACTATTAGAGGATGGACTACTATTTTACACCACTATTCAAGTTACCAAATCATTCAAATAATTTGTTCAAAAGCAAACATTTTCTTTAGTTTTTATCGGTTTTAATCATTTGAAAATTTAACAGCAAAACGAAACAAAAACAACTAACAAGCGAAATCAATAGAAACACCCGAATCAATGAATTCATCATTTTCTTGATCATCAATTCCTCGATGTCCTTGAAATCCCGTCGATGCGAGCGGCTCCAAGAGGTCCTCGATTTCCGTCTCTGTCCGAGCATTTCTCATCGCCTGTTAGTACAATAGATTAAAGATAATTGAATCGATTAAATCGACAATTACAAAGATAATTAAATTAATAAATCGAACCTGCAATCCTGAAGGAATCGGTCCATCCGGCTTGAAACAATTAATCAAATCATCCTCATCTCCATTTAAGGCAATGGTATTCTTCGGTAATTCGCCCCCACGCTTCCAGGATCGAACCCAAGTAGGTTTCCATTGATGGAGGCTTGGGGTTCCCGCCGCCGGTGCCGACTTTTCGTGATCGCGTCAAATCGGGAGCCGCTATCAAGATCCAATCCTCGTATTGCTGGCGAATGTAGGCCTTGCATGGAGCATTCCATGAAACGTCAGCTGGCTGAAGATATTTTGTCGTGCCACCGGGAACATAGGCACAATCCATCTTCAAATTCTCTAGACATTCCTTTGTCGATTCACTTTTGTGGGCAGGGTATTGATCCCAAACAAGGAGTCATCGTTCCTTTTTATTGAAGAATCCAAGTTCACCGAAAGAGCGTTGCAAGTATTCCGCCGTGATCTCATTATCGAAGCACTTGCTTTTCTTCTCTTTCCAACAGAGCAATAACTTCGATTGGAACTTTGTCTCGATTTTTTGGTCATCGTTTTCTGAGGTACCACGACAAAAGGGCGCAACAACAAAAGGGCGCAACACAACAACGCAACTCGGAACGAGCAGCGAGCATCACGGATATATTCATCTTGTCGTAGCCGCGGGTGAGAACACCAACTTCTTTGGCTCCAACCACTTCGATGCACTTGCTCGTCGAAGCATCCAGCCAAACCGCCGTCTCATCGGAAGCAACAATGTGCTTGTAATCGCCTTCTTTGATTGTCTTGTTCAGCCTCAGAATGTCCCACTTAGAATTGGCCCACTTAGAAGAAAGTTATGGCGAGCTGCGCAAAAAATTTGGTGCAAAGTAGCCACCCCAAATTTAAAAACAACAAATTTATGGGTTAAAATTAAAAATACAAACGATCTCTGAAACATGAAAATTTTCCGCTTTAAAAGCGTTGTTTGTAATTACGCTTTAGGTGGGGTACTATTAGACGGGTGGGGTCCACTTACAGTATTTACGGTATATCTATGTAACTAAAACTATTAATAGCTTAAAGATAGCCATGAAATTTATCAAAGAGAATTGATAAACTTTTTAGAAAATTGAATGTGAAAAGACTTTTGCCCATGACTGTAGTTTTTAGCATGTATTCTTGAAACTTTTACAGTACTCCAGAGAATAACAATAAATTATAAATTTTAGAAAAATATGCCGTGGTGTGAAGAAAGTGTTCTCGTTTTTTGGTGGCTCCACCAAATAATCCAAGAAAATTATCGAAATTACCTTTTTTTGTCAATAAACTATCTACGATGCTTTGTTTCATTTTCCATTTGGTTATCTCATCCAAAAGATTATCTTGATTGAATTTGAAATACTGTTTACTTGTCAAATTATCGTTTTAAGCAAAACAAACTGCTTTACGGATCGATGACTCACTTGCCAAACAGCGCTTTCCTCTCGTCGGATGCCGAGGACGAGGATTTCGAGGAAGTGAGTGGAAATTTATTTACCTAAGCATTAGAACATGAGAGAAATCGAGCTTTACTATACTTTTTAATACTAGGGTAATGCTATTTCAATTAGTGACTCTTGAATCTTTGAAAAATTACTGGATCTTAATCGGAAATAATTTCTAGTTCTCTCAAATTATATGTAAATGTATCTTTTTGCAATGGTTTACAGTGGATTTTTAATTCTTTGAGGTTGCCTTACAGAGAACGGGTTGATTTATTCATAATCGTCATCTGCATATCAATTTTCAGATCGCAAATCCTCGTCCAGTGCCCGTGTTGACCGCTCTCTCGCCACCGATGCATCAACAAATGTCCAACTCTTCATCGGTGATTCCTCAAGAATTTGCCGCTACACCGCAAGGTATGCAAAGAATAAAAACAGTAACTTTTGTACTGTCCTATGGATTGAAAAATTTTCTTTGCAAATTGATCAATTACGAGTTTTTAGCAAACGATTCTGGCCGTCAAACGATGTCCTGCCAATTATTTCCTGCCGGGATTCCAACTGCACCTACTCCAAATTTACCGGTACTTACACAACTTTAATATTCTTCCAGAAATTATAAAATGTGATAATTTCAGCAATTCCAACCAGCTCCACATTCAAACAATGCCGGACCTCCGAATTTTGCTGACAATCGGATGCCATCGGTATGAAGAGAAGTGTTTTTAGATTTTAAGCAAGATCATTTTTATTTATATTCTGCGTAAAGTTTAAGTTTCTATGTAAATCTATAATTTCAAGCCATTCCCAATGGTCTCCCCGCAACCGGGCTTTCCTCCAGCAGGACCTCCTCAAATGCCACCTCAAATTCAACAGATGCCCAACGGAAATCTGATGGGATTCATGCAGGATCCAAATTTTATGCAACAAATGGTAGCTACAAGTTTGATTGGTTCAAACATTTTCTTCTAGATGCTCTTCATGCAACAAATGCAGCTGCAAGCGCAACAACCGATGCAACAAAATGGGGCATTCAATCCAAATCCAGCTTTCCCGGGCTATGGAATGCAACCAATGCAAGGTAAGAACTTTGCAACTTTGAGAGGTTTGATTTAATGAATTTGAAGGGACGCTTAAACTTCTAAAAGGTG